GAAGACATCACAACCTCCGCAAAACACGTTCTTATCACATACACAACAGCATTACACATGTGTTGTATAGATCATGATTAAGCTCTACTACACTGCCTACAGAAATACATGCGAATGAAACGATTTGGCAATTAAATGCTGTATTACTCTTTATCGCATTTATGACCCAAACAGCATATTTTGACTGCAAAACACTGTAAGAAATATTGTCTTTAATATTTTACGCATTAATAAATGTTATATCATTTAGATTTGCAAGTATATGCGTACTGGGATCGCTTTCCTTCACAAATCAATTGGTTGCACAAGGAATGAGACTCGTAAAGAAATAATATAGATCTTCAAAAGTTTGGACACGTCTCCTGGCTATAGTGAACAAATTTCATGAAGGTTATGATTTTAGCTCAAGTTGGCCACGCGGAAAAGCTGCAATTGACTCAATTCTTCGCAACACAATACAGTTATATACGACGTAATTTAATTATTGTGAAATTAAAAAAAAAAGTCGTATATAAAGACTAAACATATGTAGTGGTATGACTATTCATTCGCTAGTTTATACATTGATGTGATAAGGTATGACACACAAATAAATAACATTCGGAGAGTATTTTACTTTGAAACTAAATTTCAAACGAGGAAGCAATGACATGCGTTACTGTTAAATAAGGCGGTGCTTGTGAATATGCTGTACTACGGTTACATGACACCCACATCAAAATCGCTCCGTCATATGCGGACAAAATCTGCGTCGCTAATGAATTGTGGATAACGTTGGCACAAGAGGTCCAAAAGGGCACAAAATCGGCTTCAGAAATATTTTACAAATCAAGGCTCCATCCAAGCTAGCAATAAGGAATGATTAACAGTGGAATACCTCTTTTGTAAATGTGTCATACCTGTAGAAAACTGTTGCTACATTTTAACTTACAAACATCAAATTGCCCTTTTCTTTTGTTTCCGTAAAAACACATGCAGGAAATGAAGTCAATGATGTTGTTAAATATTTCACAAGCTTTAAAAATACAAAGTTTTTTTATTTATATAGATAGATGTTTTGTCCGTGTTCGACATGTGAAAATCCTGTTTTATTGCCGTTTGATATAAAGGTTTCAATACTTTGACAAAGCATACGTATACGATGGAAGGAAGTAAGAAATAAGTATCTAACAATTGTATACAAAGTTCAATGGGGACAGTTTACCGTTCAAAGTTATAACAATGGACGAGAAATAAGAATAATAAAAAAGTTTATTCAATGTTAGGCAAATGTCACTTTAAGCACTAGCACATATTTAGTAATAACAGATGATTATAACAATGTACCAAATATATCATCATCAGTGTAAATGAAGAGAAATATGTAACGACCAAGATATTCACATGAAAGACGTGTGGCCACATACATTCAGATGTACCACGTTTGAAAAATGATACCAAGCATGCAGGATGCTATTGACCCACGCATGCGTACACTTAAATGTACATATATTTTATACATATATAAATAATACATTTTTACACGATTTACTCTCTGCAATAAAATGATGATAACATATAACTGATCTTAATGTATATACAGTATATGTTTATTCTTAACAAAAAAGAAACGCATATTTAAATTATGCAATCAATAGCTTATGACATTTTCGGAAATTTGAACAACATTCCCTTAATGCGAATACGCCTGTCCAGCTCATCCCAAATATGCTCAGTGGGAGACATTTCGGGGCCAATGGGGGCCATTCCAGAGGCTGAACTTTGTTTGCCCTAAGCAAATTATGGCAACATTCAGTAGAGCAGTCTTGCTGGGAAATTAGGTTATGACGTCTGAGAAGTGGTTGGAGAATCTGGTTTCTGTATCGAACGGCATTGAGGTTTGGATCCACGACCACTCCATGTGAGATGCCTCCCCAAACCATTACAGAAGCCACATCGAATCTATCGCGTTCGACAACGCATGCATCGGCGAAACGTTCAACAAATCTGCGATATACCCTTTTTCTTCCGTCTGAGCGATACAGACAGAATCTAGATTCTTTGAACAAGCCTCCACCAACGCATCCCAACCTATTCGGGCCGTGTCTGCGCATCCAGTCAAGACGTACTTCGTTGTGTTAGAGGTGGCCCGACTTAAGGTCGGCATATAATGATTCTCTCGGCACTCAAGCGGTTCCTGGCAGTTTCAGCACTAATGGGACTGCCATGAGTACCTAAGGTATGCGACGCAGTCTCTATATCAGTCTTAAATCTGTTGCGCACGTGCGATAATCGAATCGCCTTGTTTGTCGTGTGGTCGTTACACGCGACGACCGCTCCTGGGACGATAGGAAACTAACCCAGTAACATAGTAACTATAAAAGAGACGTTGAACTGTGAGCGGGGCAACGCCAAACTGCCGTATGACAGCATCCATCAACATCGCAATTTCTCTACCCTCTTAATTTGCGTTAAGCGTGGCATCTTGGTCAATATTTGTTTGAACAAATCCGTCATGGCTTGATCACACCGCGTGTTTTAGACTAAAGAATCTCACAAAGTCAGGCAATGATATCTTTACGCTTGGCTGAATTTTATGGTATATTGTCGAGAAACGAAATCATTCTTCATGTAATATCTGTCCAAATATACCATTATTTCCGTACATCTAAGGTGTGCTACAGATGGGAACTTTGTGCGTTTCACTTTTATTGAGTATACATAAATACATTGTAACACGAATGATTCTTTACAATATAATGATAATCATATATAAGGCAGCTAGATAAGGATCTAATGTTAGTACGGATAATGAAGGATTTCATGTATTTTTAACGATAAAGAATAAATAAAATAATGTCATTTTGAAAAACACTAATTGGTATGTGACCGGAACAGCATTTCTCTCAATCATATCACTTAGGGTACATTCAAATAACACTCCATTATTAAGGGAATAAATACGTATTTTTGTAATGACTTTCTTAGATAAGTTAGAAGATATTCATGAAAAATGCGACTACAACACTACTAAACATCTATCAAAGAATGAATACACTGGTTTCACTATTAATAGTCTCAGTTGCTTATTTACATGAAAACGAAGTTATTCAAATGATTTTAATTTCAAAATATTGAATTGTTATTTTAAACGCAATATATTCACCTGTACACAGTCATGTAAAATGTAGTTATTTGAAATTATGGTCGTCCTAGTGATATCATTGAGAATTATTATATTTCTTTGTGTGATATCAAGCTGGACGTGTATAATGCGTTGTTTTGCCTGTTGGTTCCGTTGTATACCTTGTTATTTGAAAACGTGACATTACTAACTTGGATTGGCCAAGGTTTACATGGCAAACATTCTCGATACGCCGGGATTTCGATCACTTTCGCTCTCGGCACCCCTAGAATATGTCATGGCAAAATTAAAAGCACAAGTGATGAAATTTGATTGGTTCCAGGAGAACTGACCTATCACAGGATGATTCGCTCCATTTTAAAACCAACTTCAAAGCCATTAAATTATACTGTTATGCGACCTCGAGAATCGTTTGATATACATCAAAGAATCGGTTTAGTCTTTTCGTCTTGTCCACATGGTACCGCACACGAAACCTTCAATGTTGCCATGGCACGTTTCAGGGATGCAGTTAACGAAAGTGTTCGTAGCCTCTGGAGTATCGAGAATGCAACGTTGGTGTCGTCGATGAAGCAGAAGACTGTCTCTATATCATTCTTATTTTTATTCATATTTTGTTCCAGTGTCCTGAAACGTGGGTTTGGATTATGCTTATGCTGTCATGTTATTTATAGTAGCAATAAATGTATTATGATTAGATGAGACAATAGGTTTTTCTGATAATCGATTAATACTAGAATTCAGTGATTTAAACAATGTATTATCTTACTGAATTCACAATTTCTCTTTGATTAAGAATGACACAAAATATCCGTATATCAAAACGATATCGCTAATGTTAAGTGCTTTTATGTGTTATTTGCTTCGTTCACTATATAATCAAAACTTGTTAGATTTCAGATTCATATATTGTACCTTCTCAAAAGTCCGATAGAGCGTTGTCCCAACAATGGAGAACCATCCTCTCTCCTGTCTGCTTCCGCTCATTTCTAACAGACCAAGATATCTATTATACCAAATGTTTCTAAATTGTTTGTTAAGAAAATTTACACCATAGATAAACAGACTTTTTCACAAGATTAGTATACACTGACTTTCATGCGATCTGCCTAGATAGAGCTTAGGTAAAAACTTATGTAATCAAGGAATGAATTAATAATATTGGCCATGTGTAGTAGATTAAGTAACGACAGTGTTTTCTGGCCACTGGACAATGAAAATCTAGCTAGTGTCCTTCTGGCAGATAAATATGTCTAACCGAACACAATTTTTAATTATCTAGTTAACTCACGTATCAACATTTGATAGTTTAACTGAACAGAAATTCCAGTTGTTATCAAAGCATTATATAGGAACTACGACCACTTCCGGGTGTTTCTGTTAATCCAAATCAAATTTATTGTAAAATCTTAGACCCCGGGTTTTAGGTTCCAGCCGATCTCTATGTCACGAGATAAAAACAAGTTAAAAGAAATTTAATTAAAGATAGGGGCAAAGATGAACATTTTCATTTTTTCTGAAACACTGGGTTCTTATATGAAAACAATGCTTGATTGATATACTATAACTGAGATTAATGTTATTTATAAACCATCTATTGGTCATTTTTGTCTTGAATATCTATGCAATCGACCTTATGAGAACGACCTAAGCTCGATGTTTCTATGATATTTCATCACACATACATATACTGTCACAAGTAAGGACGAATAAGAGCAACCGAGTCCTAGTGAGGTTTTGCTCATACGAATGATCTTATTTCATTTTTTCATGAAATTTTCATATGCACATATGGAAATAAAATCTAGTTAATCTGCACTTGGTTAGTCTTCACCTTTTCGCTTGGTTAGTCTTCACCTTTTCGCTTGGTTAGTCTTCACATTTTCGCTTGGTTAGTCTTCACCTTTTTCTCTAGTTCGATTGCAATTCCTTGGTACTTTTTCTGAAGTCTTTGAATTATTTCATCAACTTTCTGGTTTTGTGTGCAGCTTGACATATACATGTGCGTCCAACTTTTCAGCGACTGATAAATTGCCTCCTTGACATCACTTTTGTTGTTAGCAACTGCCTCCTCGATTATGCTATCGGGATTAACCTCTTTCTTTTCATCTGCAGGTAAATGTTTATAAAACGAAAATAGGCTGAAGCCGTAGTTTGTGATATTCATGACCTTAGTCTACTTATTTTGTACTCAGAATTGTAATTGGATGAGAGTTAGATTTGCATTAAATTTTCAGTTGAACTATATTATGACAGAAATAGGTTCTTTCAAAAAAAAGTTAACGCCATTTGTTCGTACCACAAAAAACCTCGATTCAGTCATCAAAATTAAGCAACCTTACCTAAACATTAAATGTTATATCACGTTCAAAATCAAAATCTGTACCAGTATAAATGCATGTGTTAGTCATGACGTACCAATAATTTCCCTTAAAACAAATTTCCATTCCTTTGGTGAAAGCAATTCTGTCAATACTAGGACGGTTTTGTCGATGATACTGGGCGATCGTGAGGACTGGTCAGATGGTGCGGAGACTATAAAGAGACATACATGTTATCGGATTTGCAATGTAACCTACCAACATGACGCAGTAATGTTAATTTATCATTTCAATATTCTAATCAATATGTCCTTAAATTGAAAGTTTTGTCTTCTTTACTTAGCTATCGACGCAAACACTTGTGAAAGCAGCCTTTTATCGGACTTTTGCTAAAACTATTCTTATTTAGGAGCATTATATTTATATATATATGTACTACTTGGAGCTTCCAAAATCAACCTGGCGGATGTCGTAGAAGAAGCAGAAGATGCGAACCCTTCCGGAACACCTGGTCTTATTCTCCTTGTACTTCCTCTGGAGTCTCCGTCTATTTTGTTGATATTTTACCCTTAAGTTTTATCAAATGTAAGTTTGATTTAAATTTCTCTTGAAAAAACGGCTTTTTTTGGGGGGGGGGGGGTATCTATAGTAAATGTGCTTAAAAGTCTTGATCTGAATAGTATCATATCAATGCCATCTGTCTAAAAAGCCGGAAAGTCAAAACTTTTTTTTCGAAATGACTTTATCCCTCAACATTATGCGCAAATTTTGTGATAACGTGATATTTTGTATCATCAGAACGGGACCTCACTCTCCATTTGCTTTTATCCTCACGTATATCTGCTTTCGTTTTCATTCCAGTTTTTTACCATGTTGTTTTTCACATATTGTTTTGGGATTATAGTTGTTACATGAGCCACGGTAAATAGTCTGCATTTGTACACACATTAGGTGCTAGTATTAATTAAGAGATTGTGTTTGCAAGATATGCTAACCATGATGTTCAATAAACAAAGAAGTTCTTCTGATCCATGAATTGAAGTAAACAAGTAGTTTTTAGAAAAATATTTCAATGTTTCAAGATGACAACTTCAAATACCAACCTGGTCTTGAAAATGGGATAGTCTTTCCTGTTTCATTTATATCCAATGCACTAACAGCTGAAAGAATTTACAAAATGGACATGATATCGGTAAAGATTAAAAATTAATGATGGTCTTCTTTTGAAATGAATAATAAAACTAATTTCATATTGAAATTTCAGTCATGACTACAAATCTATTTGTTTAATCATAACAGCGATTCTTTTTTCAACTATTTTACAATAATAACAGTTTGGAAAAAAGGGATCGGATTCCTTTTCTTTCAAACTTCGTGGTAATTTTTTTAAATATTTCATTTAGCACGATAGTTTTATTATGTAAAGTAATACTTACCACGTGATCGGTTTGCTAGATACGGCAACGATTCAAAGCTTGCTCCGTAATCGGCTTCTACAAGTATATGAATGAAAGATATGTAAACAATTCATTACATAAAGATATAAATTGTAGATCGATCCGTCTGTAGTTTCATATTTTTAAAATCAACTATTATTTTTTAGAACTTTGCAAACATATTTCAATACAGTTATTTGATAGCTTGTTACTAAATTAAAAGTATGTTAGACATTTTCTGGTTTGATGTCACCTACTTTGTTTCTCTTTCCTGAACGGAAATTCAGCGTCGAAGAAAGTTTCATAGATCGTTTTGCCATCACTTCGATTGAAGTTCAAATACGCCCAAGGTGAAGGGCGGTTTCCAAACTTAGTCACAGCTGGGAATACGACGTGCTTATGGAGACCTTCGCGGAGGAACGTAATAATCATTTGATCTTTCTGAAATCCCTCGGGAAGCTTTATACCTCCATTCAAATTTATACGTATTCGTTCTCCATCTTTAAGGAAGATTGGTGGGGATCGGCATCTAGTTAATTCTCTGTACCCATACCTGTTATCACTAAGTTTTTCTAAAGTTTCTGGTATTCGCTTTTCTTCGACACATTCGACACGGATGCTCTCTCTTTGATAAGTAATAGGTGAAGGTGGAACGAAAACAAGAATATGGCAATGGAAAATTTCACCATGTGCCATTCGGGTAAGCAACTTTCCAGTTTCCGTAACCATTTTCTCGAAGATTCCAAGTTGGGCGCTATGGCTGCCATTCAGAAAATAAAGATATTGTGCAAAGGAATTTTATACATCGAAACACTCTCAGACGAAACATTTACAGCTAATAAGGAGTATCTCATTACATATATAATTATGTCTATTATGAGAACTTTATATCTAACATTAAAGTCTAATTCTAAAAAAAAATCGTTTATTTTTTTCCAATTATACCTCTTTTTACCTGGTAAAATCCTCGACTTCCATCCGTACAGAGAACCCTTTGTCAGTTCGGTTGTAACTCTCTGATGTGAGTTCATACATTTCCAGCCCATTTATGTGCGTGTTGACGGAGTGCACATCGACCATGGAGTACTTCTCTAAGTTCGGAGACAAAGATTTGTCAAAAAGATCGAGGTCTAACTGAATTGTCATTTTCTTCTTGAATATCCCCGGTCTATGTTTCACATGTACCGATTTTGTTGAACCAATGATGAAGTGTTCACTATCCATATCTAAAGGACGATCGACGCACTGGGGAGTAATCTGGAAACACAGGTTGGTTTATCAAAATACACAAGAAACTACAACTTAACTACTGAACTTAATTCAATTCATAAACAACTTTAGGAGACCAATGTAGTCATATATCTGATTTACCATACAAGCTCACACATCGTAATTGACTGCTAGTGAGCTCATAACTCAAGCAAAAATGCATTAATAGTTATAATCACAATTATAACGTATATGTTTTGTTTTTTTTCCAATTCTGAACAGTAACATACTCCTACCCCTAACGTCATTAGCATGCCGAATCTGATATGGTCTTCAACGATTTACTATTAATTGACCGTTTTTTTTTTTAAAACTTACAACAAAAAAACGCAAGATATGCGGGATGCTGTACACAAAGGGACAGGCACAGATAAATGATGGTACAAATGCATACAGTTTTGAATTACACTAAGACATACATTATGTAATTCACTTGAAGTACATTTAAAGTGAAATGGTAGTGTACTGCGAATAACACAAAAGAAACTGAAATTCTGGTTGACAATAATTTCGTTAATTTTGGTGATAAGCAGACTGCAGATATATCTGTGGCGTGGCCTGATTAAGCCTGACATGAAACAAGTACTAATTGTAATGGGGACCATTACAAATGTCCCCCAAACAACCCCTTCGGCTATAAATGATCACGATAATCAGACCTGAAGTCATGCCAAACATGGACTACGCCATTTTGCTCCTATAGTGCCACCTAATACATATATACCAATACCAATTTTCACGAACATCAGACAATATCTAAAACTTGGCCAAATTTTGACCACAGCTGACCGCTCAGATGACCGATCGATGGCCGAATGAAAAATGGACTACGCCATTTTGCTCCTATAGTACCACCTAATACATATATACCAATTTTCACGAAAATCGGACAATATGTATAATTTCGACAAATTTAGACCACAGCTTACCGCTCAGATGACCGATTGGAAAAATTCAAGTGGCCTGCACTCCGCCTCGCATGTATGAACATAGTTTTTTTAAATTCCATGCAATAGTTCTTGAGAAACGCGTCGGAAACCTCGCCGGCGGAAGAAAGTGGAAGAAATAAGAAAAATATAAACTAGAAATTGTTGTTAAAAATTTGGCGGGCTTTTCACTTCTTTGGCGACAAGTTGACCGGAACTTGACATTTATCCTGATAACGATATATGAGAAAGATTCATTGTTTGTTAGTCTCATATGCAAAGATGAACTTTGAATCTTAAAATGTTAAGGAGATATAACTAAATAATAATGAAGAAATACACTTTTTAAAGGTTCAAACATATTTGACCCCTGTGACCTTGAATGTCAGTCAAGGTTATTCATATTTGCAAGCCTTATAATGTAACATCTGATGATCAATATATCCCCAATATTAGTTCTCTAGACCTTGTGAAACTTGACAAGAAGATTGTTGAACACTGGTACCCTATTTTGTATATTTGAACTTTGACCCCTTTAAGAAACCGGAAGTTGACATTTTGAGGGAAGTTTTCCTTATGACAATCACTAGGAAGTCTGCACAGAAGGTTTATAATCAATTTTCATCATTGTATGCCTTCTAGAAATTGAGAAACTTTCGTTTAACGATTATTAGTTAATTGACATCTGTGACCTTGAAAGTGGGTCAAGGTCATTTATATTATCAAACTTTGTTGCCAGTTACATATGCTTCTTATATGTGAAATATCAAGCCTCTAGGCCATCCAGAACTTGAGAAGAAGTTTTCCAAAGATTGGTACCCTTAATAGCACTTTTCAACATTGACCCCCTACCGCAAACCGGAAGTTGAATTTTGAGGTACGTTTGTCTTATATCACTCGACAGGAAATGTCCACAAAATATTTATGTCCAAAATTGAAGACTTTGGGCAGCTTAACAATGGATAAATTACCATTAAACGATTTTTACATATTTGACCCCTGTGACCTTGAAAGTCGGTCAAGGTCATTTATATTAACAAACTTGATAGATAATTCAACAGACATCTCACACGTGAAATATCAAGACTCAAGGCTTTGCAGAAATTGAGAAGAAAAATCGGATATGACGTCATGGCGGCCATTTTGTTTTTCCGATGAATTTGAATATGTCACTTAATGATAGAAGATATCTGGGGAAATCTTTTTAGTAACAATTTGATAAAATATAGCCCATCAATATTGTTCTAGAACGAGTTTTTCCTATTTGTCGGCATTTTTAAAAGATCAAAGGAAATTTTCAAAATGGCGTACAGCGGAAATGGTAAACGTTTTAGAAGAACTGAAAACACTAAATTCATCGGAAGGACGTTCTGCATTGATCTGAAGAAAATAATTTCAAGAAAGTTCAAAATTGAAAAAAAAAATAAAAATTTGTTGAATTTTGAAAACTTTACCCAACAGCGAGCTTTTTTATTCGACATATTCTCTGATAACATGTCATGACAAAATTTTAGATAAGGAAATTCTCTAAAAATAATATATTGCACAAACTCTGTATAATCAACGGTGTTGGAGATATCGTCGTTTTTAAGTTTTTAACTTATGACGTCATAGCGGCCATATTGGATTTTTGACCTACTTAAAATATCGGCATCGACAAGTTCATATACGTATCTACATAAAGGCGGATAGACTTTATATCTATATATTTCAATTTAAAAGATTACGAACCCACAAAATTGGAAGAAGAATAATGATAATAAGAATAATAAGAAACATAACAAAAACAATAGGTAATAATAAGAAACATAACAAAAACAATAGGTCTTTTCACCATAAGAAGAAGAAGAAAAAGAAGAAGAAAAAACGGAGCAAGCACAATATGTCCCCCCACTACGTTTGGGGGACATAATTATCCAAACGTGTCAAAAAAAATTCCAAGTCTTTCAAGTTTATCTTTTGACGTATTGAAGATGTCAATAGCCATTTCATATTGTATGTATCAACACGAATTGGACGTCCTCGACTTCCATAGGGATGAACATTAACCTTTCAAACTTATAAATAAATAATCTAAACCAAACTTACTCTGCTATTCAAGTAATTACCTGAATTTCTAGGGTTTCCTGAGCTTGGACGCAGTCTTGTGGAAATACAATTTTTACCCTGCTATCAAATTCAGAGATGAATTCTTTTCCGTTTTGGTCCAGTATGAGAGTTTCGCAAATTGGCGCAGATGCCAAAAAGAAAATATCAAAGGCACAGCCTTCAAATTCTGCAACATCGCCCTATATTAATATGAAAAAAGTGAAATCACAAAACAAGATGTTTTAAAAGAATAATGTAATCTTACTTTCGTCTCAAATATTTTTTAAAGACAATCGTTCATTGCCTGGTCAACGTCCATGGTAACGGCAATATTGTTTGGATGCTCAGACTTACCTCCATGTGCACAGGTACAAGCGACCAATTACCCATTTTTCTGAAATGCGCAAAATATTTGAAGTGTGGCGAATATTTTCCTTTGATGGTAACTACGATTCGCACTTCGTCAGTACAATCGTCTGGAAAAGGCAAGGCAACAAGTTGTCCTGAATTGCAGTTGTCAAATATACCATATAGATCTGTAATAATTCTTGAATCATCCAGGTTTTTTTTCAGTGTTGGTAGCACTGCATTTCTCATCGGAATATCCAATGGACAGGAAACATACGGAAGTGTAAATTCGTATTTTTCGGGATAACGAATGATTATGCCGTTGTCTAGATTTCTCTCAGTCATTCCAAGACTGAAATGAATCACAAGCAAAAAGTAGAAAAGAAGTTTAATTTTACTGAATTGATAAGGATAATTCAACGAAAGAAGTAATAATATGGACATCGATATCCTAAGAAAAATAATTTTGGAATTTCTTGTGATAACATTACATTATTTTTCGAAAATAAGATGTTTCTTGAAATATGTACCTTACGTTTAAAGGAAAGCTGAAGTATGAAGAGATGCTGCTGACCCTTATAAGTGGTCCTAACAACCAATTGTGGTGGACGTTTACAAGTATAGTGAGTGTCTCTAAAATTTCAAAGCTTGATATATGCTACTATTAGGATAAGGATATAAAGTATTAACCTGTCAGGGCCAGTTACATTTGCTGGATATGTAGCCTCTGATTCTGAACTACAAAAAAAGTAACATACAGTCAAATACGCCTCTATCTTTACTATCATAGTGTTTCAGTTTTAAGTATACAACATCTTCCTCTTATTAGCACTTCACATCATCTCATCTGTGTTTTCAAGGGAGAAAACAGGTATCGTTACCAACTTAATGGAAGTGATAATTACAGTTCCCTGCACACTAGTTATCAATGTGGTATTATAAGAGGCTAGGACTATAATACAATATCAACAGGTATGCAACCCGATTTCAGTTTCCCCCTCCGTATAATACCGAACCTCCTATACCATTTAAAGTTGTCTGATAAAAAAGGTTTCCATACTATAAATAAAATGACAACAACGTCTCAAGTTTTGCATC